TATATATATATATATATATATATATATATATATATATATATATATATATATGTAGCCCCTGCAGAAGGCACCGCAAGCAGCAGTAAATTTTGTTTCGTATATACATACACATACATATGTATAAGTCGGTTTTTTTTAATAGCCCTCTCCTTTACGCACATATACACATGCATATATGCTGCACTCCCCATGCTTCGTTCGACGCGGAGACTTTCGAGGCAACGCGTAAAATAAACTAGTTTGTATGTTGCCAACTACTTTGCCTATACAGCCACATCTTGTCTTACATTAATGTAGGTTAGTACACGACAGCAAGGCGTCACCCTCATATATTGTAGGAATGATTTTTTTCTTTTTTAAATTCTATAGTTTTTTGGCTTCATTCAATTAAACCATTTTGTGTTCATAGCCGGCGAGCGAAAAGTAAACAATTTGTCCACGCAGTTGGCAACGCGGTCACATTGTAGACTTTCTCTCTTGTTCCAAATACATACATATATACAAATGCATGTATACGGATGAGCATGTGCATGTGTATGTATTCCACGGGAAACAACGAAATTTCATTCATTCCTCGTTTTCGAGTAAAAACTACACGCTACGTGTAGTACGGTTGCCATATACAACTACTATGTCAGTTGTTCACACACACATGCTCGTATTTACTTGTAAATACTTTTCAATGCAAGTATACATACACACATGTATGTATACATATATGCAAGTCTACTTTATTTGTAGGCAATCAACGGATCTAATTGTGCAACATGTAATAATTGCAAACGAGCGTTAAAAAATAGCAGCTGAATAATTTCAAGACTGCAGCTGCTGTCGTTTTTGGGTACAGGGTGTGTCGTCGCGGCCTGCGCGAGTGTCAGGTGCAAAGACGTTCACGCAAAAGCAACGGCAAAGTAAAAGTCTCCACGCGACCAGAAGATACTTGGACATTCCAGAATTCAACATAGACGGCAACGAGCGTCGTTTGATTGCCATCCATTGGCCGCGTTTTTTCACACATTCCACGCGCTGTTAGACATACATATGTATGTACATACATACAAACACTTGTACGGTGACTATTGATTTCAATCAACTTTGTCTGCTTCTGCTCGCTTTTCTCTCTCTCTTTTTCTCAGGCTCAGCCACTCTCTCTTTATGCCCATTTGTCAATTAAGCAGCACGTCCGCTTGTCGGCTTACAAACAATTTGCCGTTGTGTGTGTGTGTAAATTCCATTTCCTGTTTATAGTAGGTATGCTGCACACACCAACATATATATATATATATATATATATATATATATATGTATATATACACACAAACAAAAAACCGTCCATGCCAGCTCCCGTCTGCTTGAGCCCCATGCTCAGGTCGTCTCGGCTTGCCACCACCACCACACAGCGTCGGTCGTTGTCGTCTGTATATTTTTTCTCACTCCATAGTATGATGCCTCGTCGGTAGCAGCCGCAGAAGCAGCAGGCATCGGCGGAGCGCTATGTACAGTACGTGCCACTTCCTTTACATTCAGAAAAATAAAAATTGTTCACACACACGCATATACATACACAATATGTATATACACATACATATATACACAGAATGAGACGGGTGGGCCAAAACGACTGACAAGCAGACGGGCAATCCAACGGGGAGCGTCCGTTTGGCGTCTGCGCTGTGTGTTTGGTTTATAGTTGTAGTTATTTGTGTTGTTTTTGTACAGTTGCAAAGACATAAATACAGGCGAGAGAGTACGTACGAAAACGAGTTTTTCTGTGTTGAACGATGTGGCAACGCCGACATCCTCCCGGTTCCCCTTTGTGTTTGCTTATTAGAAAGAAGAAAAATGCCGCTGCGCGTTGTGTTGCTGTCTTTACGTAAGAAGGCCGTCGAACTCTACACTGAGAGAGCGGCGTGCGAGAGAATCGCGAATGTGAGTGAGTGCCAATGCTTGTGATGTACTGTGTGTGCTCGTCTAATGATTACCGTTACAATTTGCATTGGCTGTCTAGTCTGACAACCGTCTCGCGACCCAGACTAGACGACCCAGCCCCAATCTCAAATAGGCAACTTTTTTTTCACATGACCTTTTACCGTCATCGCCAAATGACGCTCAGTTTGAAAACGTGTGATTGTATGTGCAGTTTAATTCGTATTGATTATTTAATACTAATTATTAGAAAATGTTTCTTCTGAAATACTTTGCGTGAATCTGTTTAGCTCAGGGTCAATGTCCAACAACAACAAAACAAGTGAATGTGAGGAATGAAGACTAAGTAATGATCATATAGATAAAACAGCATAGATACATATTCTAGTTTTGCGTGAACGCTATAATCAATAAAAAATTGAATCCGGTTACATATGTATATATGTATGTATGTATATAAATTTGTGATTTTATCTCGCATTGTGAGGGAAATTTTCCGTTATGTATTTGTCAATATTTAAATGTTATTTGCATTCCATAATTGTGACAGTCTGGTAACTCCACAATCCTTGGCGCGCGCGTAAAAAGCCTCGGTTTTTATTTTTGGCGCGCACAACTGGTCAAAAGAAATAAAGAAAATAAAAGGCCAGACTAAATGCAATGCCTCGAGGAATGTTGTTTACGTGCGCGCCTGCGCATCGACCAAGATTTCCACGAATTCACCAAAACAAGCATCCAAGTTGCAGAAAATGTTGTCGTCCCAGTCTGGACCTCATCCTGTTCGTCCCGTTCGTCTACCTGCTTTTGAACCGCCGCGCTGCGTCGCTTCTTGTTTGTGTGCATTTTAGCTCCACCAAACTTGGTGGCGGCGGCATGTCAACATGTTGATCCTACTATAGCGTGCGAAACGTTCTGGCAACACCAAAACAAAAACAACAGGCTTCAAGCCGTACCGTACGTTGTTGTTATTTATGTTATTTGATAGTGTATGTGTGTGGACTGCCAATGCTAAATTACACACACTTGCATACTTATGCATACATATGAAGAGAAAAGAAAACGGCGTTGGCGTCTACTTTGGTCTCTCATTTAATCAGTCTGGCCACGCTCTGCTCTTGCTCTTTGCTGTTTTCGTCAGTTGTCTTTCATAGCGTTTGCGATGCGGTTGTGTTTTCTGAGCGACCGATGCCGCTGCTGCTGCTAGTGACGGCGTCGGCATAGGCTTCATGCCAAGTGATTTTGTTTTTAATATAAATTATTTTTGGTAACCAATGGATATACGAAAAAAAAAAAATATATATATATATGTATATATCAATATATATGTATATGTTTTCAATTTAGTGAACGATGGAAAAACTATGGATTTATAAAACTGTTAACTGCTTTATTGTTTTTTGTGGTTTTCATCTTCTCTGTGCATCATCTATGAACATTTTAGTTTATGGGTTAATTTAATACCATTAAATAAATTTACAGTTGAGGAACTATTCATAAATAGTGTCAGTATATATTTTCATAACCTCTACTTGTTCTGTATTGCCCGCGCCCCGTTTGCTTGAGCGAAATTCTTAGAATTCTTAACATTCCCGCGCGCATACACACACATATGCTTATACATACAGACGAGTAGCTAAAAAGTAAAAGAAGAAAAAAAAGAAACACATTTGTATATATAAAAGTTGTACTCTCCCTACGCGTCGAAGTGTAGACATAAACACACATACAAGCGCATGCACTTGAACTCTCACGCACGCACACCAACCAATACACACTAACACAGACATTTATACTCTATTCAACACACCTCGAAATTGGTTGTTGTCGCCACTAAGTGGAGACAATTGCTGTCTCTTTTGCACGCACTCACTAACAAAAACTAGTAGGACTTGTTTTTTGCGTTGTTTTTACGCAAAGGCAAAAAAACCGGTAAGATTTCAGAAGCGACGGCAGTAGCAGTATTTTTTTTTTTGTAAAAATTTTTATATTTTATTAACAAGCTTACTGCTACCATAATGGCAACTTAATCTAGTTCTACATTAAAAATAATAACAAAAAGATCTAGACTTAGATTATATATTTATGTGTTAATTTTTAATATTACTTTAACATTACTATTTATATTATATTAATATAGTTTTGTTTAGTGAAATATTTTTCTTTTATATTTAATTATGTTATCACTCTTTTGGGCAAGTCCGTTGGGTGGCACTTCTTGAGTCGTCTCTTCCTCGGCTTGGCAGTTAGCCGTCTGGCTAGTACGTTGCTGTGGCTGTCAAGGCGTTCTATATACCTTGCGGAACGTGATTGTAGGACATCTCCCACCTTTGGAACCTTTAGATCCTTTTCGATGTCTCGAGTCCTCATGTACCATGGGGCATCGCAGATTCGCCTCAGGATCTTTGCTTGGGCGACTCTAATTTTTTCCAAGTTTGATTTGGATGCAATGCCGTATATTTCTAGGGCGTATTTCCAGATCGGGCTTAGGATGCTTTTGTATATCGTAGTTTTACTATATAGCGACAGCTTGTTTTTTGGAGCAAGAAGCCATGCCATTTTTCTGGATTTTGCCATTATTGA